ACAAAGTACTTTACAGATTTAAAATGTACATATTAAGGGCTTCAAAAAAGTATAAGTGAGTTTAAGTATAAGTATGGTAAACTCAAACGCGAAAGCGCACCTACACTTTAAAGTTGACCCAGTCTTAAAAAAAGAATTTATGAGTATGACCGAGTTAGTGATTTTGCCACAGGAAAATGTAGAAAAGACAGGAATTTTGATCTTTAAATACCCTTCATATCATTCTAAATAACGGCAAATCTGAGTTTTCTTAACGGAAAGTCCAGCCCTATTAGTAAACCTGGGAAACAACAATTGAGGATGGAGAGAGATTAATTCCTGTATACTTTAAGATCTATGTTGATCTTATAATCTTACATAAAAAAATCACATGCATAACTAATGATTTCTTGAGAGCAAACCCTGAAAGGTAACCATGACCCCAACATACAACAGAGAGCCTAAGAGGAGAAAATAAGAGAAGGAATACTATCCTTGAATAGCACCACTGGGAGGTCAAACCTTTGAGAGTAAGGACCCCAAAGACCATTCAGATTAAAACCAATAATGAACTCAGATAATAATCAAACTTTAGTTAACACCAATACAACTGATAAAGATGTCTCCTCTGTCTTAAAATTTTTTATTTTCTCTTACATGTTAATCATACTCATGGTATCAAACATTAGTGCGGGGACTATACGGGCATACAGAAGGTCTCTTCCCTACCTCAGGGACTGAATTTAATGAATTGAAGAGAGGTCACTGAACTGTATACATCAGTTCAACTACTTCTCAAGAACTTACTCGTTCAAATCCTGAATCACTGATTCAAATTTGAACAACCATAATGTGAATTAGCTGATTCAGAGTAAATTTTCCATAAATTCCAACCAATCAGAGTGCAGTAAATATTGGGTTCAACAATCTATTTGCTAAAACAATACTTGGCTCTTATTAATTAGGATAGTTCAAAATTTAATAACTTGAAGTTAGGGTTTCCAACACATGTGGATTTTACTTGAGCGCAATTCCGTAATAATTGCGCATAATAAAAGCAACGGAATTGCGCGCAATTGCGATTGTGTTTCAATTGTTTGATAATATTCAATTAAAACCTTATGGCACACAATACATGAAAATAATAATTGCGCAATTCCTTTCAACAACAAAAATATTCAGTTTAAACTTTGGTAGTGGCATACAGTAAACTGAACTTTACTAACTTACCTAACCTAATCTTTTGATTTATAATATTCATTTGCAGCATGATAACCAGAAAACTCTGACATAGGAATACGACACTTCAGACTGAAGCAGATCCATGTAACTGAATAAGTGATTTAATAAGTTACTAATTATTTTTTGCTTGTAACAACATCAAATACACTCTCTGTACCATAGTTTTCTGGTTCTCACTGTAGCAAATATATAATTTTGATTAAACAAACCTTACAAGTCGAAGTTGAACCACCGAAAAAATATATATAATTAAACTATCTCTACTTAGTTCAACAAATTCTCACAATTCATTAAATTCGGTTCCAGGATTAACATCATCCTCATCCTCAACTCCTATCTGGCTGAAACCTTCAATGCTGTAGTTACAGTTGTGGTAAATATGAATAGTTATATTAGCTTTTCTTTATTTGAACAATTGAATTTATATTATGTACAGTGGACACTTGATGTCGCCTTTTCAAGATTAAAGGGGGTATTTGTTCACAATAAGGCAGACTGCGCGTAGCTCCTTTGTGCTTCTGCTTTAGGGTTATTGTGAACTAAAAACCCTAAAATGTTGAAAAGACAACATCTAGTGTTCTTTCTATATTGTTATTTATCTTTTGGTTCAAGATTTAGAGAAACATCATTGGAACAAATTTCATCCCCATTAAAAAATAAACATAGTTAAAAATGATATTCCTAAATAATCTGTCTAATCCCATATTTGTGTCTTGAAAATGTACTTTCAAAGCATAATTTGTCAAAGTAAAATGGAATGGGTATCCATCAAATTCTAAACATTCATATGAGAGGTAAAATATACATTTGTTTACAGTCAAAATATAACACACAAATATTAACATTAACTATAAAAACGAATAGTGTTTGAACAACTAAAGTTGATCTAATTACACATAACATTCTCCTGGGGGAGAATATATTTCCATTTGACTCTTCTCTTCAGATACTTAATGCTGACTGACTTTCTATTGGGGCATAAGATAGCCGACAATATTGCTTTCTCTGCCAGCAGATAATGCTGTTCCACCTTTCTCCGGCATCATATTATTTCCTAACTCCCCTAGTTATCTAGATAAAAATGGGTTGGATTTTCTCCAGAGTTTGGTGTCAGGCTGCTCATACTCTGGGTTCTCTGCACCCCGTGGCCAGCTTGGTCTTATCTGTTCTACACTGTTCTACATTTAGGGTTATACACATACTCTGAGTTCAATACCCTTGCACTGACTCCAGACTTGTTTGGCTTTATCAATTTTATTATGCATCATTCCCCCTGCTGGGAGCAATTAACTAGAATAAGCTTATGTAGATATGGCTAAACCCTTGGTGGGTTTACATCCACTCATGATTCTATCATCATTTATGTGAATATGATAGAATCTTCTTGAAGACCTCCATCAGTATAATGTAGCTCCAAGCTCCACCATACTGATGACCCTTTCTTGCCTTTGGCGTAAAAGACTCAGCCTTTCTTTTGTGCTCCTGCTCTGTCTTTAGTCTTGTCTCCGCCTTGAATCTCCAGGTTCACCAGCTTGGCCAACATCTTGCCCTTTCAGACCTGCACAGTATTGTTATTATTATTGAACATATACATAGATGGAGAACGTAATACTCCTGCCTGGGGTGAGAATTTGGATACCACTAACTAGGTTGCGTTCACTGATTGTGTTTAATAATACTGGAAATAAAAAAAACTCTTTTTATTTAAATTACAAACACTAATTGGTATCCACTTTCCTTGCCTTGCTGGGAGCATTATGGGATTTGGACTTTTACAAATAAAACTTTCATCTCCCAAATGGTATGAATCCCCTCTTTTTTAACTTTTTCATTGTTGTCTTCATTTTCAGTCCATCTAGTACTCTCCTGTCTGTCTACTTCCTTCCCTGCTTCCTTGTCTACTTGCTGACCTACTTCCTGACATACTTCTTGATCTACTTCCTACTGTGTATCCTGACTTGTTGTCAACTAATGACTTATTAATTTTGATATGTCCTGTCCGTTCTATCTTTTCCAGAGATGCTGCTTTGGTTTTGATTTATGCTCTGAAATCGAATCAGGGCTTTATGCAGTAGTACAAGTTAGACAGAGTAAAAATAACATCAAAAATGTAATCAACTAAGAATTGAACCCAGCCTCTTGCAGCCTTTTTTTTTAGCAAGTGCAACTATCTGTTAAATGATTGTGAACTATAAACAATAAGTCGCATAGAATCACATTTATATATGTTATATATTCAGGACAACCAGAGAGAGTATAGAGAAAATGTCTAAAGGAGTGTAGACAAGGGGTTAAACATAAAAGATCATAATTCCAGCTACAACCCCCAATCATCCGACATATTTAGAGTTATCTCTTTTATTTTTCTATAAAAATGGTTCCGGAATTCCAGATTGATATCAAAACTTTTTATTCTTCCTAAACCAGAAATTTCCAAAACCCTGTTCTGGAATTCCAGAACATTCCAGAAATTTTAAGGAAAACATTCCATAAAGTTTCCAGAAAAATTGCTCCAGAATTTTTCAGAAAAGGGTGCTTTAACAACCTAAGAAACCATATTAAACTTGTGTAAAAGACAAAACCAGTAAGTCTTTTTGTCTGTTTGTCTGTTTATTTCAGAGAAGAGATACTGAGAGTGAGACTTGAGTTCAAGCATTCAATTATGTGAAATTGTGATGTGATTTATTGATTTTACAGTCAAAAGTTCTAATTGGACTGTTTTCAATCAATCTTTCAGCCTTATAAAGATATCAAATACTCCGAAATTATTAACAACCTATGTGGCCTGTTGTGATTCTATTGATTTTCCATTTGTCCAAACAGTCTGAAGTTCTAATTGGCTTTGTCAATCTTTCAGCCTTATAAAAATATCAAATTCCCTGAAATTACTAACAACCTACATAATTGGTGGTTCTATAGATTTTTCCATTTATCTGATAATAAGGTTTACTCTCCATATTTTTGTAAAATTTAATTGATTTCTAAAACCCAATCAGACCTTGTTTTTTAATTGACAATTGAAAACCTCCTTCTCGATAAAAGGGAGTGACCGGCTATGTAAGGTAGTTGAACTGAGTATGCAGTGTTGTGGAAAACTTCTTTCGGATTCATTTGAGACATATTTAAAAATCTGTAAATCCTGAGTTTGAGTGCAAATTTTATGTTCAAAACTCCTACTTTGGGGGTATATGTTTTCAGAATTAGTTTATTAAAATTTTTAAATAACAACATCGAAAAATAAAGTAAAAATTATAAAGTAATCTAATTAGATGGTTAGGAACATATTTCTCAAAAGAAATTTGTCAATAAATCAATGCTAAAATCGATTATTTCGTTTTCATTATTATATTGAATTTCTAATTTTCTTTGAATTTAATTGTGGATTTCTTCAAATGTCGCCTTTTCAATAATAATTCTATAAAATCTGCAAAAACTTTGTGAATAATGAGAAACCAGAATAATGATATAATAGAAACTAATAATTGAACAAGATTACTTATTTTCGATGATAAGATTAATTTTTATTTTCTCAACATGTTCCTATACATGACGTCTGTAGTTTATTGTAGAACTTGTTTACATTTTATGTCGTCCATTGGATATCAAGATCAAGTGTTCAAGATAAAAAATATCCACACAAAAGTTCTGATCTCTCATTTGTCTTATTAAATTTAAAGATTAAATCTGTTCTGAATGTACATGCATGTCTCTCACATTATATGTAAGTAGGACCATATATTAAAAATATTTATTCATTCTTTATGCAGAGTTGTGGAACAATGGTGAGTTTGATCACAGTAATGCCTTACTGGATTGCTCTGCTAGTTGAGTTAGCCTTTGTGTACAATGTGCATCTGGCTTTGGGACTTTCCATGGGAATCTCAGCTTGCAGACTTCTTATGATTATCCAAGTAAGTCTTTGTGGTAATGAATAGATTTTGTGTGGACACCTTACACTGCGTTTTATATGAAAAGATCAATTTTAATAAGTTTAATTATTATTATTTTTTTCTTTTCAATCACCAAAATTCGATCAAAAATATTCCCATGATGTTAAAGACATTAAAATGATATGTAAACTTTTGATGGTATGTTATGATATAAATATCAATTCTAGTTTGACAAGATGATCCAGTTTGAACCAGAGAAGTTTTGCCATAGTCTGCTGACTGCTCTACTCATCCTGACTGTTGTAATTATTGGATACCCTGCATATTATACTATCTCCAGAGGTTAATATATTTTAACCATATGGACAAAAGCAAATTTTATTATGTCTATGTTAGTATCTTTTTCGTAAGAGTCCAAATATAGGATTTCTTGTAATTTTTGCATATTTGTTTTAAATCAACACTTCTTATTACTTTTACTTCTGGATAAAAATTGTTAATATTTTTGACTAAAAATGTTTATACTTTTGGTTGAAAAATGGTTATATTTGTATTCAAAAATTGTCTTATTTCAGTTAAAAAGTTGGTGATATTTTTAGTTGAAACTTGTTTATCTTTATTTTTGGCTCAAAAATGGTACATTCATGGTTCAAAAATAGTTGTATTTTTGGGTAAAAATAGTTATATTTATGTTTCAAAAAGGGTTATATTTTTGGGTAAAAATAGTTATATTATGGTTTTATTGATGGTTCAAAAATGGTTATATTATTTTTTGCTAAAACATGGTAATATTATTATTTAAAATTTGTTTATGTTATTGGTTTAAAAATGGTCGTATTTTGGTTATTAAATGGTTATATTTTTGATTAACAATGGTTTTATACAGTCTTTATATTTTCGGTGGTTATATTTTTAGCATTACACTTTCCTCGCCCATTCTTTAAATATTAAGTCACTTTAATAAAGATATGCTTGCACAGAACCAAACATATTTTAAACAATTAACACGTTTTATGACATTTTAGGCGTGGTTGGGGTATTAATTGGACTTTTAACTGGATTAGATAGTTCCTCAACTGTTGGTGCCGTTCAAATAAGTTTTATAATACTGTTGGCTGTTACTGTTATTACAACAGTTGGTTCGTATCTGTATGGCAAGTACTACCTGAAGAAGCACCATTCCACTAACAGGAAACCAACTAAAATAATTTAATTTAAAGGGGTATCTAAACCATTTTTTAAACAGGATGAGCCGTGTACTTTTTCACTTACTAAGTGCAGAGAAACATTATTTTGAACTAAGATAACTTGCATCATAAAGCAATAAAAAATTAAGTTTTTATGAAATTATTATGTACTTTATCAATCATGATCACTTCATGGTAAATTTTTTTTTATAGAAAATCAACTTTACATGGTAAATTAGCTGTATAGAACCATAATATAAAGTATGATCTAGAATGTAAATGTAAATGAAAATAAAATTGAAATCAACTTTTATTTTGATTTCTGGTTTATTAAAAAGCTTATTATAGACAAGTACATAAACATTTCATAAAATACCTATAACAATATTATTTTAGCACCACTAAATTTTCTCTTTAAGATTCACGCCTTTTTAGATTTTATTTTGTCTTGGGGTTTAACAAAGAGAAAATTTTATATAAAAGGCTTTAAACTTCTCGATAAAGAGAACAAAATACCTCCTTAGCACTTCGAACCAAAATGATAAAGTTATAATTAGAATTAGGAACTTATTCTTTAAATTTGATTGGATAAACTTGCCAGTGTGCTATCTGAGAATGGAGAGGCTGGAAAGAATATGATCAGCATGAAGACAATCATCAAAATCATCTGTAGTCTTTCTCTTCTTTTTCTCATATTACTTGGACACTTAACAGTGGGTGGACATGTTGAAATTGCAGTGGCCATTTTTGTGACATTATTCACTCTGTTTCTAATCAAATATGTGCAATCCCCAAAAGTAAAAGATTTTTTCTATCACAAGCTGTCTCAGACAAAGACGAAGACAAATGAAAAATTAATTGCCTTCAAATCTTCAATCTCTATTTTTAAAAAGAACAAAGTTGGTGTTCAGAATATGGTTCAAGAAGAATAATATTACTTAGTGTCAAGATTTTGCAAATAATCTTTTTTGTTTACTGTAACATTAATGTTGCTTTAATTGTTTAATGATATGTCATATATATTATATAAGTGTGTAAAAAACAATAATATTAATGTAGTTTTTACTGAATGTCATTACTTTAAACGTGAAAATTTTGTAAATTTATGCTGAGCAATTTTTAAAATCTAACATGTGTTACTTAGAAGTTGATATATTTATCTTTCATAACACCATCTCTTTTTTTCGTTCAATTTTTTGTTTCAGATAAATTTGGCGCTATTCCCGCGTAAATATTTTTATGCTGAGTAATTCCGGCAAATTATTTGATTGTTCGTAAAATCCAATTTTCCTCAAAACATATTGCTCTTTCTTTCGTAAATAATTATATTTAGAATATTGCGAACACTTCTTTGCATAAATATTTCTTTATAAACTTTATTTAGAATAATGCAGACAGTTCTTTAAATAAAATAAATATTTCTTTATTAACTTTGTCATTTCTTACTTGAAAATTAAATGAAATTAAATTGTATCTGTTGTAACAATGAAATATGTAGAGAAACGTTTTTCTTTATGTATTGTAGGTGGTGTATGTTTAATGTTTTTATTTGATGTGAGAATCTAAAACTCTATTTTACCTAACTAGTTTTTAAAGAAACCAATTCAATATAGATGAATAAATAAGTCTTAGACAGAAATATTCAGGAATTTCTCGGGAAAATTATAAAGTAATCTAAT